ATGTAATTCAAAGCGTGCAGAGCATGCAGGGCCACAAACCGAGAATCTGCGGTTTGGCAGGTGGCCTTTGTGGCCAAGTGAGGCTGGAATTCTTGGAGTTGGCTTTTGGGAAGAAATTCCCGTCATCAAGGGGTTAAGAAACTTTGACAAAAATACTGGTGTTTGTGTAAAGGACTTGCACCTTGAACCATGATGATGGTAGTTTTTTGGCTAGAGAACTCGAATAGGTCTGCATAGTCCAAGCAAGCGTGACATTGCCAATTTGTCTCTGTCTTGTCTCTGCAGTTTTTTCTGCAGCTCCAGTTCTACAGCAAGGAGCAGGAGACAATGGAGCACTTCAACAGTGCCCTTGAGACGCTGACAGCAGCCCAGGACGTCAGCAAATTGTCACAGGTATGTATGCGGCATTCTTAAATCACTACGGGACCATCCATAAAGCACATACTCAGAGGGGTAGAGGCTACTGACATTGTGTGCGCCTTGGAAGGTGGAAGAGGGTCCGAGGCACACATGCAGAGAGTGCTTGTTTTGCTTTTAGGAACTAGGATCAGCTTTTGCACATCAAGAATCATTGTAACACAGTACAGTCAACTCTTGTTATAAAGAACACTGTTATACCAATTTATACAGTAACTATCCCAATTTCTTGAGTACTGACGATTCACACTGCAGTACGCCACCAAGAAGTCATGGAGAGGCCTTTTTGTAGTGCATTATGAGATAAATTGTTGACAAAGTCTCAGTCGCTAAACTGTGCTGTGCGTGAGAAACTTCAATTTTCCGAATGTTTGTTTCTCTTGGTTGAAAATTCGAAATTGATTATTGCGAACGGGTATGAGGTAGTCAAAAATGATTATTTTTTTGTGGTGCAGGGAACAACTCAATCAATCAAATATCCCAAAGTACGTACCGAAGTGCACTCAATTACAGCAGCGTGTCGACGATAAACTTGAAAGTGGCTTGGTTGCGGCAAACTCTAACAGTGGCGCTTTGTATTGTGAATCACCCGTATTCTTGTGTTTTCTGTGTTTAGCCATTCCTTTTATAACAAAGTTCTGGTTATAATAAAGTAATTTGTCTGAGCCCGTTAACTTTGTTATAACAAGTGTTGACTGCAAATGTACCTTTCGCCCTTGCCATTTAAATCTAACCAGCACTGGAACCATTGGTGTGATTAGTCAAAGAGAAACAGAGAATGCATATGTGTTTGAGGGAAGGGGTCAGAACCTTTGCAAATGTCGTGTGTTTGGAGGAGGGGGACTAAACAAGTTAACATTTGTGCACTCAGACTCTGTGGATGGCCATCAGATCTAAGCATTCAAGACATTAAGACGATGAAGAGGAAGGGAATAACAGTTGGAAAGAAACTTTAAAACTAGCCCATAGGCACCTGGCCTTTAACTCATCCCACTTGTACACCATTTTTTTCCTCTTGCCAACGTGACACCATTGTTTCTTTTCTTGTTAATGTGCCAGGGATTTCAGGATGGCCAGATGGAAGTCCTAGAGGGCACTGTCTTTGATGAGATCCTTCACCTGTACGGCCTCCTTAAGGACGACATGACGGCAACGTTGCAAAGAACAGCTGTCATTGACATCAAGAGTCGGGCAAGACCTTACAGGAAGGACAAGTAAGGATCTGGAACTTCCTTGCAGTAGCATAAGCCATTGATAATGGAGGAAATCTATGCTTGGTGGGTGTTAAATGTTTAAGACCAGAGCAGAATTGACGCTGGTAATGATCAATTTGAAGGCAAGGGACGTCAACACCATCCATTCTCCTGAGCTGGTCTTGAATTATGTTTAGGACCAGGCAAGTGCATGTTTGTTCCTATTCATAAATACCTTTTGAGTCACAAAGTCAAAAGAAGTTTTTGAAAATTGTATAATTTCCAACCAATTTGTTCAACAATTTCGCTTTATGTTTTTTGAAACACCCCTCCAGCCATGGTATGGTACATTCCCCTTGCAAGTAGTCCAACAATCTCCTTATATGGAGTGTGGTGCATACTATGTGAGATTGTGCACAACTAGCTGGTGCTTTAACAGTTGTTTAAGACCGGCCATGTGATAGGTTCTCAACCAATAGGAATGGCTAAACTGTCTTAGTTGTTTATGAATAAGAGCTAATTGTCATTCGGATTTGAAGCAAGTGCAGATGGCTTAAGAGGATTCACCAGCTTTTTTAACCTCTTCCTGCTGAGTAGAATTTGAATATGCAGTCTGGTTCCCGGGCAATTTTCAAGATATTCCATTTTCAACAATCTTCAAGAATTCATAACTTCATTCACTGGACGTTTACACCCACACAAATGACTGTCTGGTGGCTACTCTAATCTGACAGGCAGCCTCAATTTACACCCAAATATTGCAGCCAGACCTGCCGCCCAGTAAAAAGAGCCCAGATTGTGCAGTGTTGAGTACTTTCCTTTGTTCCTAAAATTGGCCTAGTGCGTTGCTGAATGGCAGTGGCGTCTTTTCAAATACAGCCGGATTAGCGTGCAGCGGTACTGTATCGCTCATCGCTGGAGTGCTGGAGCACTTTTATCTGCGCTGATAATCCGCGGATGCAGAATGTCGCAAACACTGGTATACTGTTTCAAAACAACGACGGATTACCTCTGCTAATGCCAGCTGAAAAATGATGGTAATTCCCAGCACAGGTCTTTTGTTCCGAGTATGGTCTTTTGTTATAAGGCTCAGCTTCTTTGTCCAATTTCGGGCAGCCCAGCTATGCATGCAAAC